CCAGGGGAACCAGCGACGTGAGTTGACTATATACCCTGCCCTTTGCTATCCTGCCCTTTCGCTCCCCCGAGCCTGCTGACCCACCCCGCGCAGGGCCTCTCGCCGAGCCATCGGCGATGCATCGCCAATTCCAGGTCGATGCTTCCCCCGTGGGCCGGTCCCCCCCCCGACGTTCCCCCGCATCAAGTCGAAGGAGGGATCAGCCGAATCAGCAGCCTTTTCGAGGCCTTCTGGAGCGATGCTGGGGGTCCCCTCGGGGCCACTGGGGCGGGTCCCGCGTGCCTCGTGGGAGCCCCTCGAGAGACGAGGGCCAGGCTGGAAGCCATCGGCCCCAAGCTGGGGCGCCCTCACACGCGCTTTCGGCTCCCTGAACGTGGCGCGTTCTAACACCTCATCGGTACTGTTGGGAATTGTGTTCGTTCTTTCTGTGGCTGTTTCGGCCTCCAGGGCCTTCTTGAGCAAGTCTGGGCCCACACTAGGGTCGCCGACGCCCATGGGAAGTTCAGAAGGCCACGCACACGCAACAGCATGTGGTGCTTCTGTGGTTCTGGTTTCTCGGGGGCATCCCTGCGTGGCTGGGGCCAATTCGAGCCATCATCTGGGGGCATCATGGGGGCTTCTTGTACCCACGCTGCAGACCTTCTTGGACGCCATCCCCCCCCGGCCAATCGGATGCAACTTTGTGCCTCCTCGCTGTCCTGTTCCTCGTGCGCCTCAGTAGTACCAACAGCCCTTCTTCGACCGATGGCCGCGCCCCAACCGCCGCCGCAGAACCCATCGCCCTTCCGTCCCCCCGGCCTCCTCGCAACCGGCCGGCCGGACCCAGTCAGATCGGGGAGGTATGCGAAGATTGGTGGAGTCAGCAACCTTGAGCTGAACTGCCTGGAGGCCAGGGCCGCCGCGTTACGAGAGAGTGACAGGTGGTAGAAGAAGGAAAATCTGCAGATGTTGCTGCCCTTCCCTCGCCGTCGCCTTTCTGGGCCTCCCGGGGGACCTTTGTCGACCAGCAGGGTTCGCTTCGGAATATTTGTCAGAGCGCACTGCAAGAGATGTCCAGGGAGTTCCAGTATGTGTATTTCTATGTGTGCCACCCCCCTTCCTCGCAGGATCTCAATTGAATGTCGATGGAGGGGAGAGGGATGCTCCAGTGCAGTCGCGAGGGAGCGCTTGAGGATGGTTCCTCCTTCCCTCCTCCTTCTGAGGTTGGTTTGGGAGTGGGCATAGTCGGACGTGGCTAGGACGAGGAGAAATCCGTTCCAGAGCGTTCCGGAACGCTCTCAGATCGTTCTGGAACGCTCTGAGAAGGCCGCGGCGCCCGAGGCATCCCTCAGATCCGCTGGCTCTCAGAGATTCTCGATATATCCTCACCCGAACTTATCCTCGTCCTGGCCTCGTCTTACGTCAGAGGGCGGCTGAGAAGGGAAGGGATGGCAGCAGGGTGAGGCACACGGAGTTCCTCCCTGCCTCTCGCCGCGCTCTTGTCTTCGCCCTTCGCCTGCAGGGTCTTTTTCGACACGATCGAGCGGATTCGGTGTCGACTCGATTCCGATGCAGTCGGACCGAGGTATAAGATCGAGGTCGGTTTGGGGAGGGTACCGCAGTGTTCTTCTTGTCTGTTGGATGTTCTTGTGCAACCTGGGAAGGATACCCTTGGATGTTGTCTGATTTGGCCGACGGAGGACCTCCTGTTCTTGAAGGATGCTATTCTTGCCCAGGTCCGACTGTACTCCAGCCATCCGATGTGGCCCGATGTTAGCATGACGCTTTTGAGCATCCTAGAGCGGCCGGTTCGACTTGGCTCCCATTATTCCGATTCGATCTGGTTTCCCGATTCAGTGCTGACTGATCCTGCCTTCGTAAGTAGCCATTTCTGATCTGGCTGTCTGTGGCCTAGTGCCCTGTGCGTTGTCCTGGGCCGTTCCTGTGGCTTCCGCAGTGCAGCGTACTCCCCGGGCGCAGGGCCTGACGTGGACCGAAGGAGTGCGGGTTCTGCGGGCTCGAAGTGTCCCCGCGTCGCGGAACAGCATACGGCCAACCGGTTGGCCGTGCGATGTTCAAGCTGGCCGACGAGCTCGCGCGTCGCACGTCGCCCTGTTGCAGTTGGTGGGGCCCGCCAGACAGGTGCCGAACACACTCGCGACGGTCGTCTTGGCCTTGCGCGCGGCTCCAGATGGGAATGGCCGCCGTGGAGTCGCCAGGCTGCAAAGGAAGTCTGCCCGTGTAGACGTCCCTGGCGAACGTAGCATGGACCTCGACTGCAAGAGGCGGCCGGGGTCCAGGCACCCGTGGCGGTGCGGGGCTCGCGTGGACCCTTGGGGCGCCGTCCTCTGTCTCGGGTGCTCCGCCACCGCGTCGGCGCCCTTTCCGCTGCGCCTTCATGGCGCCGCGCGAGAGGGGCGACGACGACAGCGATGGTAACAGCCTTTGTCTCGGGTAAGCGATTGGAGGAGACGGGGTCGCCTTCACCGACAGACATTGGCGCATGAGCTCCCCGCGCAAGGCTGCGCATGAGCGCCCTCGTTCTCAATGTGGCGTGCCACGCTGGCGACCCGCGCAAGTCACCGCGGAAGGTCGCTATGTCATCGTGCGTAAGACTCTTCTTGGTTCGTCGCCCACGTGGGATGCCGGCTTGCTGCCGCGCTGCTCAGCGCGAGCCGCGACCCGCCCCCGCCGCGCCCTTGCCCAGTGCGTACCAGGGCATGGTACCTCAGCCCCACCATCCCACCACCCCCGCTTGCGGGTAGACCCTTCGAAGCCCTAAGGGATCGGTCTACATCCCCATCTAGGGGGGTATAACTTGGCCCGTGGGGCCCAGGCCACGCCAGTGGGGATGGGGACAGTTTGAGCGATGCTCATCTTCGGAGACGTGGCATCTCGCCTCGCGTTGCCTCGCCGCCACGCGCGAACCGCGACCAGCCCCCGCCGCGCCGCCGCCCAGTGCGCCCCGCGACGCGGTCGCCCTTGCTACCAAGTGCCGCTCATGCCGGCCCCGCCGCGCGGCGCAGCCCTGCACGGCCTCTGCGCGCGGCGCGCGCGGCCAGCCGCGCGCGCGCGGCGAAGGCGTCGCAGCTAGGGGCGCCGCGCCGCACCGTCGCGGGAGCGCCGACAAGCGGCGAAGGCGACTGCAAAGGGTGTGGTTACGCTGGGGTGTGGTTTCCGATCTGGCGTGGTCGCTGCGGCTTGTGGGGGGGTGGGGTGGGGGGCACCACGTTGTCCCTGCTCGGGCCTGCTCGGGGGCGCGGCGGCGAGATCTGTCGAGGTCCTCCCCCCCCCCCCCAGGGTTCCCCGCAGGGTGCCGGTTGCACACTGGCTTCCGCTCGTCTTGGATCGAGTGTAGATCGGCGAATTCTAGCACCCGATAGCGCCCATTAGCGGTCAAGTAGCCTGACAGCGCCAAGTTAGCGACCAATAGCACCCGCGCCATGTGAGGGAGATGTATCACGTCCGCTTTGAGCGCGATTGGGCGCGTTATCGGGCGCCATGGGGACGACCACAATCGCAGGCGATGTTTCCCTCCCAATCCCCGAGTTCTGCCCGAACCGCTCAGAAAAATTGGCAAGCCCTGGGATACACCCCAAGGGGGCTATTCGGACGCACCCCTTGTCGAGGATGGACGCCCTCCTCCGTGCATCCCAGGGCTGGTTCCCACGTTCTTGGTCCAGTCGAAGTCCTCCCAAAGCCCGGGAGAGGGGTCGACGTGTCCCCCGTCGCACCGCACGCCCCGCGAGTTGCTTCCGAGCTCTCCGGACAGGCTCTCCTCGAGTCCCTGGACAGGCGCAGGCCCGAGTCCGCGCGGGCGGCCGCAGGCGGGGGGCCCTGCAGGGCTCCCGGGGGGGCCAGCAGCTCGCGCAGGGCCCCTCGGAGGGGCTCATGTCGGGTGTTGCTAGAAGTGCCCCTGGCCCAAGGTGCCCCCAGCTTTTCGCCCCAAGGGTCCTCTGGGCCTCGTGAGGGGTGCCCTGGTGCCCGGAGGGGCTCGCGTGGCCGGGGAGAGCCAGGACCCCAGGCAAGGGGACCAGGTCAGCAGTGGGGCCCTGGAGCCCCTGAATGGGCCAGAATCTCTTAAGACAGGTCTGCCGCAGCCGGTGGTTTGTGGGGTGACGGCTGTTCCGGTCAGTGGAACGGGGCGGGGGAGGGCGCCCCCCCGTACACGTCACTGTGCCAGGTCCCACTGATTCAGTGGGACCTGGCACAGTGACAGAACTGGGTTCAGAACCCAGTTCTGCCCACGCCCGATCGCGTGGGGTTGCTCCTCCCGAGTCGTCCTTTGACGGTCCCGAGGCCCGGCGCGCGCCCCGAGAGGCGCGAGGCGACGGAGACACCCCCGCCCCGAGTTTTGTTCGAGGCGCTGGGCGCCTGCGCGAGGGCGCGGGCACGGATGTGCGCCTGACGGGGCCAGGACGAGGATGCGGCCTCGGGAGTTCGCAGAGGCGGGGGTTCTCCCAAGGTGGGGTTGCTTGGGGCACCTTCGGGAGGTCGTAGAGGGGGGGGTTATCCCAAGGTGGGCTGAATCAGGGACGGGCCGGGCCCCAGCCGCCAGCCGGGGCTCACATGTCCTTCCTCCAGGAGCCGTTCATAGCGATGCTTCTCCCAACCCCACCTTGGCCTTACGTCCCCCCGACATCCGCTCTCTGAGCGTTCCAGAACGTCCTGATAATCGACCAAGAATCAAGCGACACCCCTCGGGTCGTAGGTGTGTCGTCGGAGGGGTGGTGTCGTAGGTGGGCTGTTGGTGGTCGTGGGTGGGCAAGCGCGCAAATTCTCAACATCGTTGGATCGTAGGTGGGGTCGTGTCGCTTGGTTTCTGGTCCAGAGAACGCCGCGGCACGCCAGACATCCCCCAGAGCCGCCAGATCTCAGTGATTCTTGATTTCTCTTCACCCGATTGTATCCTCGTCATGGCTTCGTCTTATATGTGCGCCGCTAGCGGTCGATCATGGCAGCGGCGGCGCGACATCGGCGATCGACGGGGCCGTCCCGCGGGCGAGGCCGAGCTGCTGCGGATGATCGACTGGCGCGCCGCGAGCGCGAGCGCGTGCTCCGCGGCGGGGGGGAACATGCGGTAGCAAATCATGGGATCTCGCATTCAGGATCGTTTAACCGAAACGTATGTGTCCCCATCTCCCTCCATCCCCACCATGCACCCCAGTTGGGGATATGCCCTCGAAACCCGAAGGAAATAGCCCACATCCCCATCTGTGGGGCAACTGGGCCAGTGGGACCCAGCTCACGCCCATGGGGATACGGGTCGGTTTAACGATGCTCATGTATGTCCTCGCAGCTCCGTCTTCAGAGTGCGCTCGCGTGTGCTAGCGCCTGGTAATCAATGAGAAAGCGCCGATTCAGGGTCGACTAGCGTCGTCTTAGCGTCGGCTAGCGTCGATTCGCAAGAGCCAGTCAGATAGTATGGGAGGCGAATCGGCGGTGCATCCTTGATTCTCGAGAAACTGGCCCGAGGGGAAGCCTCGACCCCCAATCGCCCAGTCACCAGAGGAGGGACAGGTACTGGTGCAGTTACCGCTGCCCTTCCTCGTTTTCGCCTGGTTGGGCTTCCCGGAAGCCCCTCGAGCTTGTGGTCAGAATGCACCCAGCAACAGCTCCATGGAGCAGCGGTATCGGCACCTTTTGGTTTCCCCAAGTCATCGCCAATCTCAAGGAAGCACAAGCATGGACCACAGCATCGGTGCGTTTCGTCGCCGAAGGAGGCTGCATTTGCTTCATGCTTCGGGGGTTGCCTTCCCCGGTCTGTGGATTTGGCGCCCACGAGCCAGATTTATGGATCCGCGATCCACGATGGAGTGCGCCCGAGATAGATCGGCCATGGGCCCCCGGTTCCGGGCCCACCTCAACGTCATGGGCCACGTTCAGGGCGGATTAGTTCAGGGGGATGTGCCTATACCCCCAATCGTTCGTTGATCCCCTATATGTTGGCCGGATAGCTCACCCCGCCCAGGACCGTGCGGTTTTATAGTCGAGGGCCTATCGCCGAAGTGTCGGAGATGTATCGCCGATTCCAGGTCGATCTCCCCCCCCCCTGAGCCAGTCCCTCCCCGATCGTTCCCCCTTAGGAAGAAGAAGAGGTGGAGGAGGAGGAGGAGGAGGACGAGGGGGAGGATGTGAAGGAGGCTCGGCGGCCTCCGTCGTTTCAAGCTCAAGGAGCCGCATGTCGAAGGCCTTCCTCGTTGCCTGCCTCGCATGTTTTTTCTTCGAGTGCCCAAACAAGCCTGAGCTGGCCAACGTTGGGCCAACGAGAAGGTGGATGCGGAGGTGGCAGAGGAGAAGAAGGAAGCGGATGGGGGCGGAGGAGGAGGCGGAGTAGGAGGAGGAGGAGGAGGAGGAGGGGCTAGAGGCGTAAGTCGCAAGTCTAAGTATGAACGTCGCGTTGACAATTAGTTTTCTGACCAACGGCGAAGGAGGAGGAGGGGGATAAGGGGGATGTGGAGGAGGAGGAGGAGGAGGAGGAAGGGAGGTGGAGGAGGAGGAGGAGGAGGAGGAGGAGGAGGGGGGAGGCGGTGGCGGAGGACATTACCATAATCAGTTCCTTTCACAGAGCAGGAGCGCATGCTGGAGCTTCCCAGATTGACTTGTCACTGCCAGTAGAGCGGCTCGCGGTCACCGCACCCTCCGTGGAATTCTGGTTTTCTCGCTTGACCGTGCCCATACAGATACCACGCTGCTCCGACTTTACGTGTACAGACGGTCGCGCACCTTACTGAGCGTAAGTCGTTGTGCACTCCTACGCTTTCTCCTGCCTGCCTAGGCTTGGCGATCCCCGCTGGCCCGACATGGAATGGGATAGCCGCACGGCCCTCGAAGCAAACAAGAAAACGAACAGACACTCCTTACCAGTTCAGGGGTCGAATCCCCCGCCTGCAGTTTTTAAGTCTCATTATCACCTGTTTCTCTCTCTCTATATCTCTCTCTCTCTCTCTCCCCCCCCCTTTTCTGTCTGTCTCTATCCCTCTCTCTCTATGTCTGTCTGTCTGTCTGTCTGTCTGTCTCTCTCTCTCTCTCTCCCTCTGTGTCGATCTCCCAATCCTCCTCTGCGTTTCTGCGAGAAGCCACTCTGAGAAGACTTGTCAGAACATCTCCTCTCAGGGAGGCTCCGTTCGACTATGCACCTCGCAGAGGAGCTCTTCCCAGAGGCCGCACCTCAGATATGTGCCCTTGCTCATCCCATAACCCCTTTAGGAGGTCTAGACCGCTGTACACATTCGAATGACTGGCGGTGCTTGTCAGCGCCTTCGGCAGCGCTCGATCTTTCTAGATCATCCTCACGCTATCTAGAGCCATCTGCAGCATTCTCAAGCGTTCTGGGTGGGCTCTAGAGCTTAGAGCATTCTAGAGCCTCGCTAAACCATCCTGACTCCAGGGCGCCCCCAAGTCGTCTAGAACCAATGGAGCACTCCAGAGCCTCTTGCGGCTTCTTGCGCACTCTAAACCACCCCTTCGCCCCCACCACGAAGCTTTTTAGATTCCTCCTGAGGCCTCCCTCCAGCCTTCACACCACTCTCGAGACCAATAGAACTCTCTGATGTCCTCCCTAACCAAGTTCTCATTATTTCTAGAATCCCCATTCGAGGGTTGTGTTGCCTTCGAAGCTTCCCAGAACCACCTGGGGCCATCGAGGGCCGTCCAGGGCCTTCCAGAGCATTCTGCAATCTTGTTGGGTCGTCCTGAACAGTCTAGGTGCCCTCTGCCTTCTAGACTTCCGACGTTCTTCGGCGCCCTCTACGCCCCCCCCCCCCTGAGCACCCGAACCTTCCTGATGGCTCCGAAGCTCTCTAGAGCCCCTTATAGAATTCTGGTATGTCCTGGGAGCCGTCACGGAGGCCCCTTGCAGGGAGCTTCCGACGGCTTCCTCCTGCACGCACTAGCCCATTGTTCCTCGAGGGCCCTCTCCAGCCTTGTAAAACACCCACGATTCACACGAGCCCCCTGGTGCCCATCTCTCTGAACACATGCTCTCACGACTTATAAAATCCTGGACGGAAGACTTTAGAGCCTTGTGCGGCACACTAGAATCCGCCATTGATTTTCAGAGCCACCGAGAGCCCTCGAGGGCATTCGAGTGCCCTCTACATCCGTCCAGGGATTGCTGGAGCAGCTTCCAATTCTCTAAAGCCTTCTGGGTCATTCTGGAAGCCCTCTAGAGCAGCCTTGATCTCTCTAGACTATCGAAGCTGATGTGGTGCTCGCTAAGGGCCTCAAGAGTATCCGAGCGTTCCTGATAGTTTGAAAGTTCGCCCGACCCCCTTCAAAGCACTCTTAGAACCCACCATATCATTATTGGCATATTCATTATAGAGCCTTCTGGACCACGCTGGATCATCCACTAGAGCCGCTGGCACGCCCTGTAATGGTTTCGTAACTCTCAAACTCTCTAAATTGAGTCATCGAACGAGCCCATTATAGATCCCGTTCAAAACCCGCTCAGGGGATGCTAAAGCCCTCTGGAGCATACAAACTTTCAGCTAGGGCTCTCTAGAGCCCTCAAGGGTACACACACGTGCTTTTCCAACCAGTCTAGAGCCTTCCAGAACATTCCATGACCCTCTGGGATCGCCCAAAGCATTGTCTAGAGCTGTCCAACCCAGCCTCAGAGGGGTGTAACCGAGATGCGCCGCCCTGCTCCAGAGGGTGTGATCGCCATGTTCCCGAAGGTGTAACCGAGGCTGGAACAGGAGGAAGATGAGGAGCAGGACGAGGAGGAGGAGGAGGAGGCGGGGCGAGAGGCGTTAGTCACGAAGCTAGTTGTGAACGCCGCGTTAACACTTACTTTTTTGATTAACTGAGGAGGAGGAGGAGGAGGAGGAGGAGGAAGAGGAGGAGGAGGGGTGAGAGGCTCAAGTCGCAAATCTAAGTGTGAACGTCGCGTTGACAACTGGTTTCCTGACCAACGGAGAAGGAGGAGGAGAAGGAGGGGGAGGAGGAGGAGGAGGGGGAGGAGGAGGAGGGGGAGGAAGGGAGGGCGAGAGGCGCTTGTCACAAAACTAAGTGTGAACGCCGCGTTGACAACTAGTTCTTTGACTAACAGAGGAGAAGGAGGAGGGGGGTGGTGATGGTGGTGGTGGTGGGGGGAAATGTTCACCCCCACACACCACCACTGCCACCACAACCGCCACCACTTTCTGATCGCCACCACCACCACCACCACCGTTTGAATGGGTGAATTGGACTAGGCTGCGATGGACTGCTCAGGCACTGCAGCGCGCCCAGTGGGGTCCCAAGGATTTCTGCCGGCTTCCAAAGGAAATCGAAAGTCTTTCTTCAGGATATGCGAGGCTTCCTTGAGGAAGCCTCGGTGTTTCGATTGTAGTCCGATGGTTTTCGCAAAAATCCCTCACGACTTCCGAAGGAAGCTGAAGGAAGGGCGGCATGAAATTCTGATTTTCGCGGCGGGGGATTCGACCCTGATCCCTCCTTACCCCCTGGCCTCGAGTACCCTCGCAGGCTGGCGGTCGAGGGGGAGCCTGCACCGCGTGCGATGTGCATGTGCTCGTGCAGCGCGCGCGCCTGAACGCCGGCACCAAAAGGCGTCTGCTCTGCCTACCTCACGGGCAACGATAGGGGGGGATAGGCATAGGGGAGGATACATCGACCCCCGATCGCCCGTTGATCGCCGATGGGGGCCCGATAGCCCCAACCTGCACAGGAAGGTGCGGATTCACTGGCGGGGGCCTATCGCCGTCCTATCGGCGATGTATCGCCGATTCCAGTTCGATGCATCCCCCCTATGCCAGTCCCCCCTATCGTTGCCCCTTTCTACCTTCACAGCCTCACGACTCGTCCGAGCTCGCTTGCGACGTCGAGGACGGGCTGAGCTGCACGATTAGGGCCCTGGAGATAAGCTCGCCTCCGGGTCCTTCGAGCCCACGCCCTGCAGCGGCCTGGCCCAGAACTCCCTGAGAAAGCTGAGGCACTCGTCGATCTTGGGTTCACGCCGGGATGAACCTGTGCCGAGCTCGCCCTTGGTGCGGCATGCTGAAAACCTCCGTGGAGCCGAGCCGCGGTAGGGACGGTATGAGCCACGTCCTCGGGGATGGTCTCCGTGGTCTCTGCCTTCTGCGGAGCCTGGTCGGCTGCCCTCCATACCATACGGGGGCGGCAAAGGGGGGTGATGACTAGGGGGGGGAGGATATCATGGCGGGGGCCATGACATCTCCCCAGATGTCATGGCGCCCTTTCTTATTTCAATATGTCCGTGGCCCCCCCCCTGGGCCGCGCCCATGCCGCCGGCCATGATTTGCGCCCCCCCGTCTCTTAGACGCCCCCCTCTTGGCCACCCCCGATCCATAGAACAGCTCCGAGGCCACCCTCTTTGTGCTCCCAAGTGCTTCTCGTCTTCTCCGACTTTGCTGCAGTCCTTCCCGAAGGTGCAGGCGCTGGCGTTGCTGCCTTTGCCAGTTTCCCCGCCCTCGTTGGAATCGCCTTTAAACCAGTCGAGCTTCCTCTTCGGGTTGTTGATCGCCCTTGTGCTGGAGTCCGTCTGGTTTGCCAAGTTCCCGAATTCAAGCCCAGGACCATCGACTCCGGGGTCACTAGCGTCCCAGTGTTTGGACCCGCCCCGTCAAGATTCATGGTTCGCGCTGCCGCGGCTTGCCGTTGATTCCGCCGTTGGGGACCTCCGCATATTGGTTATCGTTTTTGCTGCACGGCCACTTCCTCCGCGCACACGTCCAATGACCAAGTTCACGTATCAATGTGACGACTGTTTGCATGGAACAAATCCTCCGTGCACAGGTTCACCTGCAGCACCACAGGCCAGACCGAGGAGGAGGAGGAGGAGGAGGAGGAGGAGGAGGTGGTGGAGAAAACGGAGGCGGAGGAGGAGGGCCAGGGAGAGGAGGAGGAGGAGGAGGAGCAGGAGGAGGAGGAGGACGAAGACGACGAGGACGAGGACGAGGCGGATGACGAGGACGAAGGACGAGGAGGAGAAGGCGGCCGCAGACCTCAGCGGCCGGCCCCCGCTCACGGCGCCGACGACGGGCCGCGATGCCGATGGCGACAGCGCCTCAGACCGTGAGCGGCAGTGGCGGCGACGCCGACGGCCGCGGCGATGCCGTCGCCGATGGCGCCGCTGTCGCAGACGCGGCGGCGAAGCCGCTGCCGACCGCGACAGCGCTGCCGACCGCGGCGGCGACGGCGGCGGCGACGGCGGCGCCGTCCGCGCCGAGGCGAGCCCGCGTCTCGCCCGAGGAGTTCGATCGCTACCGCGGCCTGCTGCTGGCGCCCGCCTCCGGAGGCCGGGCACCGCAGCCCGCCGGCGGCGCGCCGGGGGCGCCGGCGGCCACTCCGCAGGTCGGCGGCTCGGGGAGCGGGGGCCTCCGCCGAACCCGAGGCTGCCGCCGTCCTCGCCGCCGCTGCTCTGCCGCTCTCGCCGCCGCCGCCTCCGCCGCCGCCGCCCTCGACGCCTCCACCGCCGCCGCCGCCTCTGCCTCTACCGCCGCCGCAGTTGTTGTCGTCCTCCTCCTCCTCCTCCTCCTCCTCCCACTTCCCTCCTCTCCCTCCCCCTCCTCCCCTTTCCCCATCTCGCCCTCCGTGGCACGAGGCGAGCTGAGAGTACTGCCTGTCTGCGATCCTGATTACACAGGCGCCATCGCACTCTGCCCAGACTGCGAGCTTGTGGCGCAGGGCTGGCATGGCCGAATGCTTGGGCAGCCATGCGGAGAGGACGCCGACCTGTCGTCCGCCATCACCGTCCCGAGAAGAGGATTCATCCATGACCACCACCGCCTGGGGCATTGATCTTTGGGGACCTCGCCGTGGTGGATAATGGATATGTTCGGGCTCCTCGGGGCCCAAATGCATCGATATCCTCCGCCCGCCAGAGTCGCACGACGTCGGCTCCGCAGGCGATGGTTATTGACAGATCTCCGCCTCGCAGCCGTGCTCTTCGTGAGATCTCCCCCCGCGCCCGCTCGGTGTGGCTGCGAGCGGCAGGCCCCGAGGCGGACGACCGCCCGGTGGGGCCGCGCGGCGCGCGGGGCGGCGGGGCACGGTCGCGAGCGGGGCGGGGGCTGCCCCAGGCGATCCGCCGGGTGCTGCTGCGGGAGCGGCGAGCCAGGCTGGTCCGCATGAGGCCGAATGCGCCACCGCGGAGGCCTGTGCGATAATCGGATCGACCAGAGCCTGCACCGTGCGAGGGTGTTCTTCGGTGCGGCCCAAGTCAGGTCTGTTGAAGCACCGCCTGCTGTCGCGATGGCTCGGCACATGTAGGATATGGATGGCACTGCGCTCACGCAGCGCCGCCCCGAGCCCAAATGGTCACGGAGATGCAGTTTCACTCCCTTGGCAACACATTGTACGAGTTCCCCCCTCCTCACTTTCGCCTCTTCCTCATTTGCGAATCTATAGACATCTAGCGATAGAGAAGGATATAGATATCTATTCATTTCTATATGGGTTCCGCCCGTCTGCGAGCGCATATATACTCGCTGGGGACTTGTAAGACGAACTTGTGGGCCTGACCGCCCCTTCGAACCCAAGGACATTATTCCTCTTTCCTCGCTTGCATGTCCTCGTTGCTCTCCCACATGCCCCCCCTCGCTCGGATGCCCGTTGCCATTTTTGGCTCGAGCCCCCCAACCGCTCGCGCGCGGCGACATCCGCAGCGTTTGGCCTCGCGACGCGAGGTGCGACAGAACGCGTTCGTTTCGACGCAGTGCGCGTGTCGGGGCGCCCGACACTTTTAGAATTTGGAAGGGCGATGGCCCGCGCGCGCGGCTATGCATTGAAACGTCGGCGGCGCGGCGCGGTCTCGCAAGCTTCGTGGTCGCCTGGCCCTCGCAACGGCCTCTTGGCGTCGTTGGCGCGCACTGTCTGCGCGCGGCTGCCGTTTGGCTGGCACGACGCGTTGCGTTCGGCGTTCCGCGAGCGCGCTGATGCTGAGAATCCAACCTGCGCGGCGCAACGCCGCAGTCTTCATGAACATCGCGCAGCGCGGCGCTCGTGCCCCCAAAACGATTGAGCTGCGTAGCGGCGCTCTTCTGCGCCGGACTTTTCTGCGACATGTCAATGTTGCCAAGGCTCCATTCGCACCTTGTGTTTTTGTTTTCAACATGGCGAAAAAACAATATCTAAGACAGACGCGAAGAACTGTTGTGTTGTGGGATGTGTACGTTGGGAAACCCCATGAGCGATCGCTGCATAATTTCGAATATCAACCGTTATTTTTGGGATCTGCAACCTTGAATCCCATTGGCGCGCCCGCTTACCAGGTCAAACACGCATGTTACATATCTGCAATGTTGTCTCACGCCTGACATGGCCACGTTGGACGAACCGCGATATGAAGACATGCCCACGGAAGCCACAGGCAGGCAGGAAATAATTGCTCGCTTCACATTGCATCTGGGCAGGGCAGCTCACACATTGTTCGCGGTTTGCCAGGATATGGCCCCCGCGACGAAAGCCGATGCTGCTTTCCATATTTGATGCCAGAGGCCGACACCGTGAACGCCCCGCGAGCCTCCCCCTTTGAACTGCGAAGCACGATTCGCAATTTTGGCTTCCAGCCCACGAATCCCGACTACGAGTTTGACTTCGGAAGCAAACTCCTCGCGGGTAGACTCGAAGACGGCAACGTTGATCGAGTTGAGACAAGGCGATTCAGCTCGTAAGCTGGAAGCCGCGAGGTACGCCGAGACGAAGGATAGATACGCAGCGCTGGGTCAAGACGAGCACAGTAAGCAGCTGCGGCCCGCCGTCCACGCTGAACTCACTCGGGCTAAACTTGACGACGAGGCTTCTCAGTTAACGGCAGATGTGTCTGTCTGCTTGCCGGGGGCCTTTTGCCCGCGCGTTCTTCGCGCAAGTTTCGGCGGTGAAGAGCATCGAATTTGTCCACGCAGGGTGCAGGGGCGCGCGAATATCTAGGTCACGAGGATCGGCGCCGTGGCGAGGAAACTCATGCGCGACCCCAAGAAGATCGCATGTCCTGCGACGGCGGGGGAATTTGATATGCGCGGCGACTCGGCGCGCCTCGATCTTATCGGCGACGGAGGGCACGACTTGAAGGGATGCTTCGTGGGATGGGGCCGATCTCACGAGACAGGGCACCTCGCCCAAACGAGAGCCCGCCATGCACCGTGTATACGGCCTCCGCAAATGCCACCGGCTACAAGTTTTTCCAGGATTTGCGGTTGAAGCGTTCTGAGCAGCCCAATTCTTAGATGAATGCTGCCCGACTCATGTTTTTTTGCACGAGCGAAAGTCTGACATGTTAGCGCTTGAAGCTCACCGAGACATCCGAGAACTAGGCGGGCCGCCCATGGAGGCGTCGCTGCCGAGTGCAGCGCGTGGAGTCGGCATGCAAGTTTTCATCGGGCGAAGAAGTCACCCTCCGACCCGACGTGCGTTGCTAGGACGAGAAATCGCGGGCAGTGGCGCGACGCGCGGGACATGACTACCGATTGACACATCGTCGACAGGGAGTTGTTGTTAAAGGCGATGTTGGTCAGGCAGACGTTGTTCGACGTGAGGTCCAGACGTTTGTCCCATTCCATGGCAACACCTCTGGACTGTGGCATCCTGGACGTTTCGGAAGTAACGGTTGTAATTTCAGCATTCAATGTTGCATCAGATTCTGTTGAGGTGCCGCAAGGGACAGATGTGCGCGCATTTGTTGAGAAAGCGCCACACGTTACCGCGCGCGAAGGAAAGCCGTGCTCTTGCAAACCGAGCGGGCCCTTTTTTATTATGTTTGCCGCTGCACTTGTGTTTTTCTTTGCATTCGCAGTTACATGATGAAAGGCCAAGAGCGGCGATGCTCATCGAGCTGATCGTCAAGCTGGAACGCTGCGCCCCATGATCACGGGGTGCATTCTTCCTACCTGTATGACCAGAGCTGGTGCGTTGCACGATCTGTTGTGTTTCACTTATTTCTTGCCATTGCTTAGGGCGTGCGCGTCTTTTGAGCTTTGCGCGCCAGACCAAGCTTTCAGGCGCTGTCACTGCGATCGTGTAGTGTAGTTTGCGGGAGATACGCGCCGATCTCTGCCCCCCTCGCGACTTTAAAGAGGACGTTTCCCGTTTAGGTTCGTAAAGTCGCATTCCCCGCCGCCATTGGGATTCGGGTGCCGAAGGCACGCGCACCCTGTTTGCCGGGACGCTCTGTGTTCGCGTCTTGCGAGAAAGCCCTCCCATCATATACCCTGTGTGCACCTTTCTTGTTGTGCATACTGCTCCTTTTTTTCATGGTGCGTATACGACGAGAAAAAAACATTCTCGACCCAGGGAGGAGGGAGGAGGGCCCGGGCCAGGCCGCCTCGCTGCACAAGGCCGCCCCGCCGCCGAAGGCCCGGCTCGCGGGAACGCCTTGCGAGGGGGTGAGTGTCGTCCTCTACTCGATTTGGGCAAGCGCTCTTGCTGTCAACTTGGTATTGCGACATCCGAGGAAGAAACCACGGCATGCGCAGAATTGGTTTCTCGGAGGTCCGCTCGGACCTCCGAGTAATGATGTGTCTGTTGCGTCCCTGCTCCTCTGGAAAGTGAGAGGAGGGGGGGGGGGGGGGCTTGCGGCAAACCGGCCGGTTGGGGCCGTTGCAGGCCGAGGGGGGGGAGCCTCACGATCCGCCTCGGCCAGTCCATGCGGGCCGCGGCCGCCAGGCCCAAAGTGTCCCGGGGCTTCCCTGGTACCTCGCATCGCGTGGCCGACGAGCGACGACAGCATGCCGCGGCCGCTGGGCCCCCAGGGCCCCGAAATTCCTGGGAGATTCGTCCCCGTCTTCTCGGGTGGGGCTCGCGGAAACTGCCATCACCAGGGAAGGGTCGGGGCGGGGAGGGGGCTGGCATTGGCGACGCGCACAAGTTGGCCATGGGAGGCGCATGTTTCGGGACTTGGAGAGGTTCTTTCGTCGCAGAGTCAGCTGCACTAGTTGAGTGCACCATATTCGTGATTCGTGCGTAGTCTGGTCGAGAGCTTGGCGCAGGCATGATAAGTACGCACAGCGAAGTAGCCAGCCACTCCAGTTCAACTCGAAGAACGAATGGGGCCGGTACAGTCAACCATCATAGTACGAATGAGCAGCACCCAAAGGATGCCTTTGCATTCTTGCCCTTTCGGCCAATCCTTGGCGATTTTCGCTGGCCAACCTCGTTCGAACAAAGTTAACGTGGCCCTCCAATCTCTTTGTGCCCTTACCCCGCATCCTTGATTATACAGGTTGGCTGAGACGTCAGGATTCGCGCTGGCGCCGTATGGGAATTCGTTGCCACGCATTTTCTTTGGGTGGAGGGCAAAGGATGAAATCTGAAATGCCGTTTCGATGGGTTTTTAGGGTTGAACCTGCAAAAGGTGAGTCACAAGACGGATTGATTCTCGAAGTGCAAACGCCCACATGGATTTCACCTCCATTTGAGCCCTCCACCCTCCGCAAATGTTCAGAGTTGCCCACAGGGGGCACCACCTGCACGGCCCCCCCAGGCCAAGCCTCAGGGGGCTGGTGCACCGCTCCTGCGCCCGAGCGGAGCCTGGCCAGGGACGGTGAATTCGTGTAGGCTCAGTCGATCGGCTCCGGGCCCAGAGAGTCTCGGGACGATTGTTATGGGCACGGGAAGAATCGGTACGATGCCCAACAGCAGTTCCTTTCATTTTGAACCGGACTTTCTGTCCGCGCCGCCGCCGCCGTCGTTCATGTCAGACAGAAGGCCGCCTGCCCAACGTCGGCCGCTGTCGGTGTTGGAAAACATTTGTTGTTGGGCATCGTACCTACACGCCGGTCGTTGAAATCAGGTATTGTTGGATGCGCACATCCCAATACATTTCTGGCGCCTTCCTGCTTCAAGAACCGATCTGCTTCTGCTGTGTGCTGTTGTTTTCTGGGTGGGCCTGAACCCCTCCCTGGTCCCTCTGCTGCCTGCCCGCCCGCCCCGCTGGCCCTGGCCTTCCGCCTGGGCGTCCGTCGTCGTCTGCCTGCTTCTCCCGTCCTCGCCCCCTTCCGCCGGGCTGCCCAGCATGCCCGGGACCCGCGTACGCGCAGCCTGCTTCCGCAGCCAGACTATTTCGGCCACGCTTGCACCCAATCTGCTTCGTCCGCCCTCCTGCTTCGTGCCTTCGCCTGCTTCCCCACCGGCGCGCGTGCTGCCTGCGCACCCATGCCGAACAGACCCGGAGCGCCGGCCCGGCCGGGGTCGGCGTGCCCCGGCCTTCGGGCCCCGACTCTGTCCAGCCGCCGGGCGCCCCCGGCGCCTGGCAGCATCCGGGAGGGGCGAGTGTCCGAGGTGGAGCGGGGAGGTGGCCAACGCGAGCGACCGGTTGCCAGTTTACTGTCTCCACCCTTCCTCCTCGCACTCTCGGCCTCCCTCCTGCGTTCTCCCGGCCTCCCCCTCTCTCTCTCTCTCTCTCTCCCTCTTCTCCTTTTCCTCCCCCCCTGCTTCTCCTCCTGGCAGCGTCCGGGACGGGCGAGGGAGGGGAGGCGAGGACAAGTGTCGAAGGTGGAGCGAGGAGGCGGAGAGGAGACGGAGGGGAGGAATGGTCAGCCACGCGTGCAGCCGCACCGAGGCATGAGGTCGAGGTCGGTTCGGGAAGGGTACCCCAGTGTTCTTCGTGTTTGGTTGATGTTCTTGTGCGTCCTGGCGAGGGTGCTCTTGGATGTTCTGTGTCTTCTGGCCGGCGGAGGGTCTCATGTTCTTGAAGGATCTTCTTCTGGCCCAGGTCCGATTGTAGGAGTGGCCCTTCGCCGGAGCGACCTTTCGTGAGCGGCTTTCGCGGGGCACGGGGGGGCGGAGGGGCGGGGAGGCAAGGCCCAGGAATGCACGCCCCTAGTTCCTGTCGCTCCGCATGCAACGATCGGCAAGCCGCGCACTCTTTCGTGCAGCTGAGGTGACGAGGAAGAAGGAAGGGGCAGCACTGCTCGATTCGAAACGAGGGTCGGCGCATCACCCAGGGACGTGGCCAACCCACCTGCAACAAGTCGCGATGCCAACAAGCACACCCTAGACGAATTCGCGTTTGACAGGGTGAGTTGTCCTGTCTGCGAGCTACATGAGGAGCCTACGCATTGCGCGCCCCAGAGGGTCAGATGAAACGACATCGAAGGACAGCTATGTGCAAACGTCAGACGTCACTCCGCTGGACCTCCCAGGAGCTTACGAAAGAAGGCTGCGCCTGCGGCTGCGCAGTTAGCATCGCCCAGGGAGGGGAGGTCTCACCTGGATCCGTTGGCGGGGTCAGCACCAAGCTGGACCTCTCCGGGCGCTTAAGAAAGTTCTGCTAGCTGTGCATTTGAAGGTGCCCAGGGAGGGGAGGTCGAGCCTGGGTCCACGTAAAACGTCACTCTGTTATACCTCCCAGGAGCTCATGAAAGTGGCGACAGTTGCACAGTCGGCGGCGAGAGGGGTGGTGTAGACTGGGTCAGCGTAGAACGGCACTCCACTGGACCGCCCAGGAGCTCACGGAAGCGGCGACAGTTGCGCACTTGGCAGCGCTTGTGGAGTGAAGTTCTAGAATGTTGATTGGTCCGTTTGAAACCGCACTTTGCTTCACTGTCCAGGAGCTCACGAACCTGGCGACAATTGCAGTTGGCAGTCGGTGCAGTCGAACCGAGGTATAAGATCGAGGTCGGTTCGGGGAGGGTACCCCGGTGTTCTTTGTTTCTGTTGACTGTTATCGTGCATCCTGGGGAGGTTACCCTTGGATGTTCTGTTTGTGTTGGCCGACAGAGGGTCTTTCGTTCTTGAAGGTTGTTCTGCTGGCCTAGGTCCGACAGGGAGGCGATGTCTAGCTCAGGGCAACATGAGACTGCACTCCGCTGGATTCCCCCCACGAGCTCAAGAAATTGGCGGCAGTTGCGTAGGATCTGTGTAACAACATTGTTCAGTGGTTGCTTCTCGATCCCAAAGAAACGGCGGCAGTTGCAAACCTGGCACAGCAAATGACAGCATTTTGGGAGGCGCGGTAGGATACCGATACGAGGCAGGCAGGTGGACGGAGGATCACCCACTGCCCCCGATAATAAATCATCCCCCCCTTCACCCCCTCTAGATCGTCACCGTCGCCGTCGTCAGGCCCAGGCCGCCATCAAGGAGGCTCGATGCGAGCCTCGAATCGAGGATCCAAGATCTTGGTTCCGAGCAGCATTGAGCGCCTTGGATCCTAGACCCACGGGCCGCCACGCTTGGACTCGAAGATCTCGGGTTCGCGATCCGAGGATCGAGGATCGAGCCGCGGCGATCGTTGTTCTCCCCCGTCGCCGTCCTCAGGCCCAGACCGCAAGCAAGCAGGCTAGATCCTCGGATCGAAGACCGAGGATCCGAGTTCTTGGTTCCGAGCATCTTCGAGCGCCTCGGACCCTAGGCCCGAGGATCGCCGCGCTTGGACTCGAAGATCTCGGGCCCACGATCCGAGGGTCGAGGATCGAGCCTCGGCGATCGTCGATCGCCCCCGTCGCCGCCCTCGGGCCCAGACCGCCGTCAAGGAGGCTCGATCCTCGGAAAGAGGATCCGAGATCTTGGTTCCAAGCATCTTTGAGCGCCTTGCATCCTAGATCCGAGGATCACCACGCTTGGACTCGAAGATCTCGGGTTCTCGGTCCGAGGGTCGAGGACCGAGCCTCGGGGATCGTCGTTCTCCCTCGTCGCCGTCTTCGGGCCCAGACTGCAATCGAGCGCGCTCGGCCCGTCACCCTCCGATCGAGGATCCGAGATCTTGGCTCCGAGCATCTTCGAGCGCCTCGGACCCGAGGCCCGAGGATCGCCGGGTTTGGACTCGAAGATCTCGGGCTCGCGATCCGAGGATCGAGGATCGAGCGTAGACAACTAGCAGGCACGCGCGCACGCGGACAAACGCGCGCGCACGCAAACGCGCGCACACACGCACACACACACACACACACGCACGCACACTCGCGCACCCACACGCACAACAACAGAAACAGCAACACAAACAACAGCAGCCAAGCAATTGCAACCAGCAAAACATCAGCACCACCAACAACAACACAAACAACAGCAACCACATCAACAGCCAGCACACACATACGCACACTCAAACACGCACACACGCATACACTCACGCACACGCACACACACACACACACTCTCACACACAACAAGCTCACAAAGAACAGCAGCCACAACCGCAACAACAACCAGGAAACCAACAGCAACAGCAGGCCACAACAGCAACAAAACAAACAACAACAGCACAGTCAACAGCTGCCACAACAGCACCGGCCAAGCCCACCGCATCGCCGACGCATCGCCGAGGCCCGCCGATGCATCGCCGAGGTGGCGCAAGCTATCTTATGCAATGGGCGCGAGCGCTGCGGTGCACGCACTGTTCGGGCCATGCCCGCTC